GTTCTCAAAGGTTCGCATATGTCAACTTTATTTGTATTAGGCTAGGATTAATCTACTTACTTTGTATGCTAGAGATTTTTAATGTATTGACGTAAAAACGAAAGTTTAATAAATGTCTCGTATTTAATGCCTTTTGCAAAAAAAAAAAATAAATAAAAAATAAAATAAAATTTTTTTAATAATTACATATTTGATTATCATAAATTAATATTGAATTCACAGATATTAAAAAAACAAAAAATTTTTAATCTTAAACTATTTCAATACAATATTTGTTTAAAAAAATTTAATTTATAAAACAATCAATTTAAAATGATAAGCAATAATGAAAATATATTATTTTTTAAATAAAAAGATAATAACAATTAATTTAAATAGACTTTTTTTTATATAATAATAATAATTTATCTAAATTAAATAAAATCTTATATATATTGTATTTTAGCTTATATTAAATAAATATATACAATATATGTATATATTAAAATTAAATTTGATATATTTTTTAATTAAATAAAAAATAAATTAAAAAACATAGATTTTTCAAAAAATTAATAAAAAATTTTTATTTTTATATATAAGATATATTTTAATGTTTTGATATTTTAACAATAAATAGAATTCTTAACAATATTATTTCAATATATTATTATAACTTTAATAAATAAATTATATTATAATTATACATGTTGCTAAAATCTGTAGATTCTTGACACAATTGATGCAATTATTTAATGCAATTAATTAAATCACTATTAAAATATATAAATAATTAAATAATGTTAATTATTTTTAATAATTTTGAAATTAATCAACTGTAAAATAATTTATATCACATGTATAATTATAACTTATATATTAAATTTCAATTTCGATGGATTTTTAATATAAAGAAAAAATATAAAGTAAAATCCATAACTAATTAAAAGACACGAATATCATTTACTAGTTATTATTAAATGAAAACAAAACTTCAAATTCAACTTAATACATATATTATTATTCTATTACGTATTTTATATAAGCCATTTACAGTATATCGCACGTGATCAGTAATAATATAATCTAAGAAGTCGAAATTATAAAAATCTTTTTTTAATGTATCTTAACCAAATTATCATCTTTTCAAATAATACATACAATAATCGCAATATAGACTGGCGAATCTCTTAATGATTCGTATTAAATTCAAATTTCGTTGCTGTGCGTCTGGTGTTTGAATTAAAATTAGGGAATACCTAATAAAGTATAATGAGGAAAGAAGGCAAATTGCTTATCAGCAGACCAAGATACAGATTCTGAATGAGTAAATCAACTTTTATTTGCTAAAAGTTGATTTACAATTACTACAAACAAGTCCGAATGATTCAACAATATAATATAAAATAGGTTGGTGATGATTTTTCTTGTACACTCATCTTTCCGACCAAAAAAAAGTCAATAAAAGTAACGATCCTTTAATCGCTGATATCACGTCTTCGTTCAGCTTCAAGAATTATGTTTTCTCCCGAGAAACTCAAAAAATAATCCACCAAACCTTAAAAATTTTATTTACGACCTTTCATTGATTCGAATGCTTTTGCTCGCAATTGCTCTAATTGCTCTGACTCAACAGCGGCTGCCTAAAATCAAAAACTTTAAAGGTTGTTTGTGATTTTCTAAACTCGATTTTCAATAATTGATTTACCTTTTTTCCATCCTTGTTATCTACATCATCATCATCATCATCATTCCATTTTGACTTGAAGATGGGAGCATCAGCTAATTTCTTTCTAGGGGGTGAGTTTAGAACCGAATCGACCCCTTCTGTCGATTCTACGGTTCTCTTTTTGGAGTCATCTTCAGATGTATTGATCTCTGGACGGTGATTTCGTTCTGGAGAAGGAGTATGACTGACCAAGCCTGATGGTTTTGTAACAATCTCTTTAGAAAGGCGTCTCCGTTTACTTGTATCATCTCTTTCTCTGCTCTTACTACGACTACTGCGACTTTTATGCCTTTGTTTTCTTTCTTCATGCCTACGACTTTCCCTGCTTCTACTTCTACTATTATGCCGATGACCTTTGTGTCTTCTACGATCTCTACTGCGTTCTCTACTACGTTCCCTAGCAACACGTTCTCTGCTACGATCTCTACTTCTACTCCTACTCCTTCTATGGTAACGTCGTTGATGTCTATTGTCATCACTTTTACTGCGACTTCGAGGACGATGAGAAATTCTGCGGTGCCTGTCATCATCTCTACTTCTACTTGGATGGCGAGCCGATTTATTATCACGATCCTAAAAAAGCTAGCTAGTAAGATTAAATTGATTGAACATATAAAAATGGCATGCGTAATATACTATTCTAATCACAAGTATTTAATTACCCGTCTTTCTCGTTCTTCTCTGCGTTCTTTCTCTCTAATCTCTCGTAACTTTGTTCTCTCTTCCTCTTCATTTTCACGCCTTCTTCGAATTTCCTTCATAATTCGTTCATCTTCTTCCTACATTCATAATCATTATTTTTAACTAATAAACCATGATGAAAATTTATTGATTTCCAAACCTTTTTCTCGCGAATTTCCTTCATTTTCTGTTCGAGAAATATGTTCGGGATGCCGCTTTCACTGTCTTGAGCCGATAAAAGTAAATTCCATAACTCTGTGACGAAGATTGGTGCATTTTTTTCCAAAAAACCGGTGAGATTAATTTGCATCATTCTCGGGTCAAGATCCTTTTAACAAAGAATTTACGACATAATGGTGATAAGTCGCGATTCAGTATTAAGTTGTCAACCGAATTTCATTATCTCAATAAATGAAGATATGCAAAAATCTTTATTTAACCAACCGGTTCTTCCAACAACCCAAATACATAATTGACGACAACTTCGTCTTCACCTCCTAATAAGTCAACAATTTTTTGTGCGATCCATGGCTTGATTACTGACATGTTTACTTTTTTCACATCAACCTAGATAAACAAGGAAGGAATGCATAGGGTAAAAAATAAAGGTTTGTTGTGTTTGAACTGAAATGTAAAGGCAACAACTAAGACGAGTTTGGTACACATTCATCCATTACCACGTTCCCTAACAAAGAAATGGCGAAGAGAATTGTCCAAGAACATGACCAAGAAAAGAATAAATTTTGCGGATCAAAGCAAATTGTAATCGTAAATAATAAAAGAAAATCTATGTTGGTGATTGATTCAATAACGGCCAGAAACAGACGGGTAACCAACTAAGAACAGCCTTCGCCTCTTATAGAATCACAAAAAGTAAACTAAAATTATTTGTTTTTATATTGGATATGATTATTAGCATAATTCTATGAATTAAATACGCCCTATGGACATTAGAACCTCGTGGTATTTATAATTTAGGATATGCAAGGGGTCACATATCTTAATATTCTTTTAATATATAGGGAAGGATCTATTTACCTTTCTATTGAATTCTATAGGAAAATTCATGCTTTTTAACAATTTTTTTTGCTTATCAGAAAACCGACTGTCTTGTTCCAAGCTGGTGCCCTGTTATGCACAAAAAATCGTGGATCGTAGACCAATTAACAAGTTGAACTATGCCTTTCTTGGATCGAAGCTAGTTAATGTCTGACCTTGAAAAAACCTCCGTCACCCATAGTGATTCAATAGTGTTTTACTTTGGCAAAAGAAGGACAATTTGCGGATGGCGACCGAAATTGAAATATGCAAACTTCGAATTTATACAGTCTTACATAATTCTGTGGCGAATTAATCAACCAATAATAATCTGGATAAATAAACAAATAGATATCGTATTTATTTTTTAAATTAAATAAATATTTCAAAAATTATAATTATAATTAAATATTAGTCAAGTGGTTTCTGTAGGCAAGTTAACATTTAACTCATTATAATCACATATGGAAGATGTTGTTTCTTTCACAATGTATACTTTTAATATACAAATCAAATAAAGAAATGATGTTTATTTACAAAAAAAAAAAAATTATAATTAAAATCTAATTTAATTACATATTTCTTAAATTGTAATGCAAAATTTTAAATATTGATTTTTGTAATTTATTAATATTATAAAAAATATAATTTAAGATATTCTTAATTAATTTTATTAAGTAAAAAATTGAAATTTTATTGAAAATTTTTAAAATAAATAACTTTAAACTTTATATTTAAAATTTTAATATAAAAAATTATATAAAATTTAAAATTTAATATATATTTTTAAAAAAACTCTTTTCTACTTCTTTTTTTACACTTGAAAAAATTTTTTTAAGAAATTTTTGAGTTATTTACTTTTTTCTCATTTTTTTTTTCCTTTTTTCCTATCTTTTTTTTCACATATTTTTTTATTCCTCCTTTTCTATCTTTTTTTTTTTCTTCTATATATCTTTTTATACTTCATATTTTCTTTTTCTTGCTAAAGCAGGATTTTTTATTCTTTTTAAAAGTTTTACTTTCTCTTTTTTGAAAACTTTATTTTTATAACATTATTCTTCTGATCAATTAATTTTCTTTTTTTAAGGATTATATTTAAAAGTAGTAATCTTTTTTAGGATATAAGCTTTAAAAAACTTCTTTCTTTCTTCACTTGCCATACATCAAGTTATATTTGGAAAGCAGGCATGCCAATTCTAATCATGACTTAAATGCCAACCTATATAAATTAGCTACAGCACCTTTATGTAATTAAGTATTCATTTATTTCTAGGTAGCTAGATGCTATTTATAACATAATATAAATTTTTGAATTTCTTTTTTTCTGTATTTCTTAAATAGTGCTAAAAAAGCACAGGAGTTTGGCCCCATACAGGAGCCTTGCATTAAACTCTTCCTAACAAAAAGAGATGTATATTATGCTATTGATTATTGTACCTTGCTTTGCAAGTGAAAATATAATAGATATAATAATATGTGATAGCCATTTGCTCTTTTTAAAAAAAAACTTCCTTCTTTCATAGTTTTTTAAAAAAAGAATAAATGGCTTATTTTTTTCAAAAGATTAATATAGTTATTATTATCAAATTCAACATTGTTTACTGATTGATAATTAAACTAAATATGTTCAAGAAACCTTTATATAACTATATTTATCTAAAAATATCTAAGAAATTGTATTTTATAATATTCAGAATAAAATGATAACCAATATTTATATAACTAACAATAAACTAAATTAGTTATAGGTATTATATTAATAATTGAAAAACTTAATAAAATAATATATAATAATCAACCTATGGGTCCATAGTATACATGTGGTGTAAATTATTTTGCTGTTGACTCAATTTCCAAAATCCTCAAAAATAATTGCATCATGACTCAATTATTTATATGTTTTAATAGTGACTCAATTAATTGCGTCAAATAATTATGTCAATTGCGTCAAGGATCTACAAATTTCAGCAACATGTATAGTCCATAGTGTAATAGTTAACACTCCACAGGTCAAATCACAAGATACCAGTTCAATCCCAAGTGAAGACAATTGAATCGAATTAAAAATAGTATCTAGGGCCATAATCTGTTAAGCCTTGTTTTCCATAAGAAGTCATTTGCATGCTGATCTAGTAAGACGTTAGAATTGTGATCTCCAGAAAAGGTGTTGTGGCACAACGATCGTTCAGTTGGTGTTACGATGATTGCCAGAAGTTGCAAGATGTATGAGGTGTCCACTTTCGACAAGTAGGTTTGGTAATTCTTCCTCTAATATCTGACATCTTTCATATAGATCCCTGCCCTAGTCTCATCCCAATTCAGTAATAAACCGGTCTGGCAGTACTTATTCCAAGAAAGCTTCTGGCTATAAGTCCTGTTTCCTGCAATGTATAAGTTGGTGTTCAAACAATAAGCACCAGTTATAAGTACCTTGAACGTTCTTGGGTATTATTGGACAGATAAAAAATCAAATAGTTAGCCCAGCTACAGGTGGTGGTAAAAGGATTTATCTCTGATAGAGCAAGCAGTGATTATATAGCTTTATTTGCCATAGATATTATCCCTAGTACTCCCTTTCAACTTCTTCTTAATTCCTTTCCAGTTAGAAATAAAGCTGTTCAATTACTAGTGAAAATGCATACTACTGGTTCAACAAAGGATTACCTTTGTTCAATAAATTAGCCTTTATACCTAATATAGTTAGGAACAAGCTACAGCAAATGTTATTATTTGGAGTAATTCCAATAAGTGTTGGGTATAATTGACAACCGATATGTTATAGCATAGTCTTAGATAGTAATGTCGAAAGATATATGTTATAATGGAATAATTAATTCTATTATATTATTTAATTATTATTATTATTTTCTTATTATTATTATTTTAGCTTCTTTTGATATTATTTTAGTATTATC